GCCTTTGGCTGCATTTAAGAGATGTGCTGTTATGTCTTATCATCACTCAATTTTCCTAGATTTCTGATTTCTCTCATAGTTTAGCCGCACCATAGAATAATTATATTAAATCTCTTGCATACTAGAAAACCAATAAACTGTGTACAGAATTCAGAATTGAAAATTACTGTTATAGTAGCCATTGATTTTATTATCCAATAAACCAGCTGATTAATTTAATAGCAATCAAAGAGATTTTATTAGTGAATTAATCCTCTTAGTGTGTATTTATGGGAAAAAATGAGCAGGAAATGGAAATGACATCACTTTGTACATTATGGAATTTTTATAGAGAGAGAGATGGAAGGTTAATATTGGACTTAGAATATGTAATAACCTTTTTTTTTATATGCAAAATATCTCCTTTGGCAGAAAAAGCTAGAGAGAGGAATGTGAACACATTCATTTTAGATAAATTAAAAACATAAATTAAAGTTTAAAATGTTAGTTATAGAAATTAGTTTGCACATTTTGGACCATTTCATTTTAGATTACTTGAAATTATGCCCATTTAGAAATTCCAGCTGACATCAGTGGATGCAAAGTTCTACAGACAAATTCTAGGATGATTCTATAATATGCATAGAGAGAGAGAGGTAAAGATGCTTGCCTCTCACTCGGAAGGTTGAGAATTCAATCCTAGATGTTTCTCTATTAGGGTTCAAAGAGAAAATATCTGCTGCGAACTCCATGTAGGCATTAGGAAAGCATCCGGCCAGTAAACGCTCAGCTCCATTCAATCGCCCCAACTCCATCCCAAAACAAAGGGATTAAAGAGTCATAAAAAGGGGGGGGGAAGGAAATCATATAAGCCTCTTTATTGAAATAAAATGCTCTTATGAGATCATTATAAGAAAGGACTTATCTGTTTTATGGAATAAATTTTATAAATAAATAACGGTTGACCCATGCCCGTGGGCATCCTCAGGAGGAGCGAAAAGGGACAAACAGCATCTGCACTGTGATCAGTAGTGGGATTCTGCCGGTTCTAGGGGGTTCGGCCGAACCCTTTGTTAAATTTCTGGCTCGCCCCGCCCCTTGCCCCGCCCCTCCGCACCACTATTTATTGCCAATAAATAGTGGTGGGCGAGGGGCAGGCGAGCCAGCAATTTAACAAAGGGTTCGGTGTTTTTTTGTAATTTTATTGGCCCACGGAGCTTCAGCATAGGCTAATTAGCCCTTGCTTAGATCGGCTCCCGACTCTCAGCTGTTTTGCTCAGGGCTCTGCTGCTTGCTTGCAAAGAGTGCTTGAGCAGATTTTTTTTCCCCTAGCTATGCTGAAAAAGGAAACTGAAAGTAAAGCAGGCTGTTGGCTTTGCTGTTGCTGCAACGTAGGAAAATTAGGCAAAAAAAGAGAAAATTTCTTTTCTTTTTCCTCACCAAAAAAGGTAGGTGCAAACAATGGGAAATTTAGGGAAAAAGAGGAGAGTTCAAGATTTTAAAACACAAAAGAAAAAAAGCTCTATTTAACTAGGGAATTGTAATAATTGAGATACTATTGTATATTGTGTTGAAAGCAGAAATGGTTAAGTTGTGGTTTGAAGGAATATATGGGGGAAATTATTTGGTTTATTATTATTGGTAAATATAATTAATTGATTTGTAAGAAATTGGATTGCATGGAAATAATTGGAATATTCATGTTCATATTGATTAATATACAAAAAAGGTAGTTATATAACTAATTGATTTATATTAAAATGTTAAATTTATATTAAACAACTGTAATATTACATAATTAACCAATGTGAGGATGGATATAAAAATAGATGACAATGGGAAGGGGTATAATATAGAATAGAAGGGAAAAATTGAATTTGATTAAGATTAGAGATGAAGATGAAGGGTAATATTGGTTTTTTACAAAAATAGATGAGGAATAAATATGGCTAAAAGGAAATATAGAAATTGTAAATTTAATTGAAATGACTAAACACTGTTTAAATTTGTGAACCGGCCAAATACTCTGTTCAAAGAAAATACATTGTATGTTTGTATGTGTGTTTCTAATTATTGTTATTTATTCATATTTGTTCTCTTTTATTCTTTAAAGTTTAACAATTCATTCTTTATCTTAATACCTTTATATTTGTTTGGGGTTGGCTTTCTTTCCTTTCATCTTTTTTATTGTAGAGCAATCTTTCTCCTCAAACCTACCACCTCTCTCTTTTCTTTCCTTCTTACTTTCTCTTCCTCCCCCTCTTCTTCTCCTCCCTACTTCCTCTTCCTTTCTCCTTCTCCTCCTCTCTTCCTCCCTCTCTTACCCTCACTCCTACTCTAATTTTCCTTCCCTTCCTTCATCCCTCTCTATTGCTGTATCCTTTTATGCATATGGACTACTCAGAGGGCTGAAAAAATTATTTCTGATTGGTCCTCGCACTTTTGACCAGTCCTCGAACTTACGACTGTCTTCACATTTTACGTTTTTGCCCTATCTTGTCACCATGATGAAGAGAAGCAGTTGTGAAATGAGTGACACGGTTGTTAAGAATGCTGCAACGGGCATAAATGTGAGGATGGTCAAAAGTGCGAGGACCAGTCAGAAATGACTTTTTTCAGCCCTCTGTAGTCCCTATGCAGATAGCCACGCCCACCGGTCACATGACCAGTTAGCCATGCCCACCCAATCACATGACCAGCTAGCCACACCCACCCGGTCACATGACCACCAAGCCACACCCCCAACTAAGCCACGCCCACAGAGCCGGTTGTTAAAAAAATTGAATCCCACCACTGACTGTGATCATCACATAAATGAAATAAATTATATAATGTGCATCATATGTATGAAGTTACATTGATGCAGTAAACATCATCACAGGCTGAATCAGGTTGTAAATGGTTCAGAATAAGCACAACAAAAACTCTGTTGGAATCACCCAAAAAACTAGCCAGCTCAGCATCCTTTTTCCCACCACTTCTGCTGCTTGTATGCCATGATGTTATAAAGCATATTTATCAATAAACAAATAGAGCTTTGGATATATTTAACAGATAACAGTCTAAAATTAATAAATAAGTTTATAAACAATTTCTTGACTCACTTATACCTGATTCAAAAAATGTTCAATGTTCAATAGTGAATCGGACCTTTTTTCCTCCAGTTACTGAAGTTTGTTTAGCTAACTGTGAACAAGAATTTGCACTATTTGATATATTTTTGCTCAACCACATCACATGCTGCCAAAAAAAGGAGGATCCTGGAACTGTTGCTCAGACCTCATCCGTCACATCTCTAGCTTATCTATTAAGTGCAGCCTGTTATAAAATAGCATTAGTGTCTGCCAAAGTATTTTACCAAAGCCTCTTTTGATGGTTCTTCTTCAGTGTCAGTGATAATCCTCATCTGAGTTTGCCATTAATTCTTCTAGCAAAATGCCTTTTTGTTTCTAAAAATTAACATCTAGAATAGTGAGTACATTATAGTGCCTTTTCAGTTTTCAGGTTACTTCAGTGCAGGTGATAAAAATGACCTTTATAACTGAAACATCGTATGGAAAATTCTAATACTGTACACAATATTTACAAATGGGAATGCAACTCTTTTGTTTATATGTCATGAGAAAATAACAGCTTGGATCTGTTGATTGGACTTTCTGAGAAGTGGCCTTCTACCTGGTTACCATGAGTTCAAAAAGTCCTACCAGAGATGGGTTTCAGCAGGTTCTGACCAGTTCTGGAGAACGAGTAGCACAAATTTTGAGTAGTTCGGAAAACTGGTAGTAAAAATTCTGACTGGCCCCTCCCCCATCTATTCTCTGCCTCCTGAATCCCAGCTGATCGGGAGGAAGTGGGGATTTTGCAGTAACCTTCCCCTAGATTGGGGAGGGAATGGAGATTTTACAGTATCGTTCCCCTGCCATGCCCGCCATGTCATGCCCACCAAGCCACGTAGTAAAAAAATTTGAAACCCATCACTGAGTCCTACCTACCTAGATACGTAACTATCGCAGAAAACCGTTTGATAAATTGTGTGTCATTCTTATCAGTAACCCTGAAAGAAGAAAAAGCAAAGAGATGCAAGAGAAAGTGAAATTTTAGCACACTTAGGTCTTGAAAGGAAGATGGGGAACTTGTCATATTTGCAGGTTATAGTCTTAAGAAGTTTGGAAGAGAGAAAATGTAATTGCATACTTTTCCTAGAAATGCAGGCTCATTTTATCACAGTTAATTCTCATCCATGTACACCTGAAGTTTTAAAATGATTCTGCCTCAAAATATATGCACGCCACTTATCTTTTCTTTTTAAAAAGAAAGAAATGCTCACTAGCAGGTTGAATGCTGCTTTTTGCTTCCAAAGCAAATGTTTTCAGAGATCTAATGTTTTTAAGGAATGTGAAATTATGGATATTAATGAATGTAATGCAAAAAACTAAGGTGTCCTTAATGGTAGCTCTTGCTGTCAACTTTTAGATAATTTGAAGGTATTAGTGCTGCTTCTGTTAAAATTATGAGGGAGGAGAATGTATATGACTCCTGTTTCAATTATAAATGCCAATTCCATCAGCATTCTGTACTATAATTTAATGATTTCTTTGAATCACTGTAGAAATATATGGTTCTTTGAAAACCAACATTCCTTAAGTATAATAAAATCACTTTATTTATTGAAGAGTGTTCCATTTATAGATGAACATTTAAACTGAGCGCTGATTGAAAAAGTATTTATTTAACTTTGAGCTACATGCATCTTTATAAAACAATCATAATGCTATGATGCAGACTCTGAAGATTGTATTTACCATAGCTTCAACCCATGCATTTGATTTTCATTTAGTTCTGAACTAAGATCATGTTCTATTTACTAGCAACTCAGGAAGGAAAAGACAATGTGAAATCCAATTTTACAACCATTATTTGCAAAACATGAGAATACAATGAATTAGAGTGAGATTTTTAAATATTTCTTTAGATATCTGTATTTTCTTCTCAGCTGGAATTGTTTGTTCCTTCCTCTATAGGATTCGATACTAGCATATTACCCATCTGTAAGGATTCATTGGGCTGGATGTTCAACAAACTGGATATGAACTATGACCTTCTCCTTGATCACTCTGAGATCAATGCTATTTACCTTGATAAGTATGAACCATGCATTAAGCCTCTCTTCAACTCCTGTGATTCCTTCAAAGATGGAAAGCTTTCCAACAATGAGTGGTGTTACTGCTTTCAGAAGCCTGGAGGTAATTAACCAAATTCAACCTCAGAGAAAATGGATTACAAATCAGTATTCTATACTTTACTTCCAATAAAATTAAGAGGAAAAGAAGTTGTGATGCTTTGTATAGTATTTATAACCATACTTCCACAATACAACTGATGTGGTATTTAATGGAAGAAATAAGCAAATTCTGGAGTTAATTCTTTAAGAATGGTATTGATGTTCATATTCATGCATAAATGATTTGATGCCTCATCTATCTATTCATCTAGAGCATGGATATCAAACTTGCCACGTCACGTTGGCAATACATGATGTTTTGTGACATTTTTCCCATTTGCAGAGCTGGGGTGGGTGTGGCCTATGTATGACGCATCCTGCCTGTGGGCCACCAGTTTGATACCCCTGACCTAGAGAGCAGTGTTCACATGTTAAGCGCCTAAGGATGCCAAAATCCAAATATCTAATATTTGAGTCTAGTGAATAGCGGCTGTTGCTGAATGGTACAAAGAGCAAATGCTATGTCCTTCCCATGTGCACTACAATGTACAGAGCCCTCTCATTTCTTTAAATTTGTTTTTATTTATTTTTATATTTATTGTTACATCTTAGTAAACTTAAACCAACTCTGGTGACTTTATGAGTTAAAACTATTCAAGCTGTTCTATCTTTCACCACATTACACAATCCTAGTAAATATTTTTCTGCTTTCTATCTCATGTTCTGTCAGCCTTTTCTTGATCTTCCGTTATCTTGTTGAATATTATCTTCTTTTTCATAGACATATCTGCCCTCATGATGCACCCAAAGTTTTATAGCTTTTGTCTTGTGATTTGACTTCCAATGAACACTCAGGCTTGATTTACTCAAGTACTAAGACGTTGGTTCTCTTGGCTCTCAAAGGAATGCAAAGTAGTTCTTTTTCCGCCATAGGTCAGAGGAATTAATCTTTTTCCTCTCACATGATAAGCCATCCCTCATATCTGTACTTCATACAGGAGAAGACCAGCGAGTGGACCATTCTAGCTTTTAATTTATTTGAAATGTCCTGATTTTTCATGAGAGTTATAGGATTCAAAATCTTTTTGCTCATCATTAGTATTCTCTGTTTCTCTTTTACATACGCCTCATTTTATCAGTTCTGGAGTCTAGAACTTTGAAGCCTAGAACTTCTATCGTCTAACTGTTTATCTTAAATTCTTCTAACTTTCCAGTAGACATGATCTTTATTTTCTTGATATTCAAAGAAAGCCTTGCATTCTCACTCCCTTGCTTTAGTAATAGCAACAACACTTGGACTTACATGCTTCTCCATAGTGCTTTACAGGACTCTTTGAGCTTTTTGCAATGTCAGCATATTGCCTCCACAATCTGGGTTCTAATTTTACCAATATTGGAAGAATGTAAAGCTGTGTCAACCTTGAGATGGTCAGGATCAAATTCCTGGCAATGGGCAACGTTAGCCTGCAATACTGCATTCTAACCACAGTGCCACCAGAGCTTTACTTTTAGAATGATCAGTCTTAGTTCTTCTTCAGTTTCTGCCTCAGAGTTATCTCAGGTCATTTATTTTCATCTATTGATTTAGATACCATTTGTTGAAATTAAATTTCATTCTCATTGTGGCATCCTGATTATTATAGAGACTTCTTATCAGAAGAATCAGATCGTTGATTCTGAAGTCTGCTTATTCAATTGCCACTTATCTCTATATAAAGCGCTAATCTTTTCAGAAGGATTTTCAGCTATGTCTTGCTGGCATGTGGTATTAAAGTTATTCTGTAATTCTTTTAAATCTCCTGTTTTATAGATTGGGATTGGCCTTTTCCAGTCTTTTTACCATGTTTTTTATATATTAGTCAGCAGAGAGCTATCATAGTCTTTACTGTTTTCATACCAGTTTCATTTAAGCACTCTATGGCAATTTTATACACAACGGGGTTTTCTAAGTGATAGTTATTTTATAATAATCTGACTTTCTTTTCAAACACAACCAATTGATCGTAAACTTCTTTTGTCTTCAATACAATCTTATCCAGGTTGGTTGTCTTGTACAATTTGTTCATTTATTCCTTCCACCTTTTTAAACAGTACTAGACAATGATTCAGATATATTTCCTTACCTAAATGAGAAATAGAATGACCACAGGTGGGCAAAAAGACAGTGGGAACAGGAGCAATTTTCAACTTCTTGCTGACTTCCCCATTGACTTTCCTTGTGAGAAAGTGACAGAGAGCATTGGAAATGACAATCATGTGGCCACAGTTGACACAGCAGCATGGAGGCATGGCAGCACTGATGCAACCACAACTCTGCCAAATTTCAGTGCTGCAGGAGTAATGGGTCCCAGATTTGAGATGTACTCCTTCAGTTAGCCTATTGGAGGTAGATTGATTCAAAAAAATTTCCCTCATGATACAACATTTCACCCAATTAAAGGTTATAAACAGAAGAATTTTAGTGGTATATAGGTTTTTCCATCATTAAATCCTTTTCATGCGTGTCCCTTATGACATTAATATGCTGTTGTATTATTTCTGCAATTTCTTTAATTCTCCTAAATAAATCCCTTGTTCTTCCAGTTTTATTTTCTTCTGTTTGTACTCCACGTTTTTATATATTTCCAGCTTTATCTTTTTATTTCTTCCCACAAAGATCCAGGGTATTTGCCCCTGACTTCAAACTTATATTCCTCATGAATATGTTACATCTCATTGAGATTTGATTCTTTCTAGTCTTGTTCAGTCTAAAGCATATTTCTATGATTAGCAGCTGATAGTCTGATCCACATTCAGCACCTTACAATGTTTTACAAGTCAGCAGAGAATTTTCCCATATGCTGCTACATAAGATGTAATCTATTCCATTACTGTGTTGTTCATTTGGATATATTCAGGTATATAGTTGTCATTTGGATTGCTGAAAGAATGTGTTAGCAATAAAACTACCATTTTCTGCACAGAAGCACCCGCTGTTGCCTATAGGTTCCTAGTTCATATTTTCAAATAGTTTTCAATGGAGATTCATTTTGGACTTTTGCATCAAGTCAATATTTATAGCTTGGCCCAATTCAAAGGAACAGTAAGTAGAATGCAGCATAAATATTCCTTTAGTCCTTTTCCCCATCTTATGGCATAGCAATTAGTCCCATAACCAGTATGCTTTCATTAACTTGATGTCAGGCCTGGAAGCCCTCTTTGCATTGGATCTTCAGGCCTGCTCCATTTGTTGGGGTTGTTACTTGGAACCCTGACACTTGACTTATAACATTGTCTGCTTCCCCAAAGTAAAATGGATTAATAGAAGACACCTGACTTTTCCCGTACCCATATCTGCTTATTGCCACCTGAGAGGGAGAACAAAAACATTTATTGATATGCAGAGCCTGTTTGAGATCAAGGAACAGTTTTTTCCCAGATGAAAGAAAGGTTTTGCATAATATAGTAATTTAAGATTATTTTCCAGTAAGTGCCATGATGTCTGTTTTGGAGCTGGTTTTTCCTATCCAAAAACATAATTTCAGATATGGAAGTGTTTTGCTATTTTCCTTCGGTTGTTTCATTTACATTCTTCATTTAAAGAGAACAAAGGAAGATTGAATGGCGGCTTCAGAAAGATACCAGCCAGCCAGTCAGTCTCTAATACATTCAAGGATAAATTTATCAGATTTAATATATTCTTTTGTATCTTTCTTTTTTCCATTTCATGATGTCTTTTTCATGCCATTCTCCTCTCTGTTAATATGTTTTATATGTTTTGAATCCTAATAATTCATTTTGAACAAAATATTCAGTTTTCATCCACATTTTTCCAATTTTCTATTTTTTACTTTGTCCATATTTTTCTTGCTACACTGCATATTTGAATAATCATAAACAAAGCTATTATTACATAAGCAAAAGACATCCATTCAGAATGTTACATGGAATTAGAAATGTTAGAGTATTCTGCAAAGGCTGAGAATCTGTTTCCATGTCCTCAAAAACAGCTCTATATCAACATGACACCTTCTCCATCCCATCTGTTTCAGTAATAGTCTAAGCAGGAATAACAGATGCTTTGGGGCTGCTGCTGAGAGAAATGGAGAACTATTCCCATCTGAAGTATCCCATACAGATTTTTGCAAACAGTCTAATAGAATTTCAATCTTTGTAGACATTCAGCTTAAAGGCAGGGAAGGAAGGCTCAGGAATGATGTATCTGACATACCCACACCAAAAACAACTGCCCTTGTAAATCATGCATGGTCTGCTACTCAACTACTACAAAACACACCATGTTCTATCACACGAGGACTTTGTTCCATTGATTAAGCAGCAGGATGCTCCATAAATACCCCAAGAAATATAGATCCTTGGTCATCAGTTGCAATTAAATCTTCAGAACTGCTTCAGTTGCTATTAGTTTATAGCATAGGCAATTGCTTAAAATGTGGAAATTAATTGACAAGCCAGTGGTAAATTAGCATCCTGTTTATATCAGGCTGATGAAGAGAAAGGGGGAAAATAAAGTATTTAACAATAAAATGGCCTCCAAACACTATTTTTAAGCATAGCAGGTTGTGTCTTTTTTAATTAGTAAAGTTAATGCCATGCATTTGTTCTGCTATACTGTACAAGCATATGTAGCTCATTCATTCCCAGGTGAGCAATAGACTACACTGCCTGTCAATTGTGAAGCTAATCATTAGAGGGTCTGTCCCTCACCATCTGGAAACTCATTCTCGTGAATTATGTTTTAGGCCTCCCATGCCAGAATGAGATGAACAGAATTCAAAAGATGGGCAAAGGGAAGAACTTGATGGGTAAGTTTAGCGATTTGCCTCTCACTCATTCACTCAATCTATTAATTATTTAATAAATCATTATTATTAGATTACCATACGTTTATTTATTTATTTTTACACAATCGGCTTTCTCATCCGAGCAGCAAACAAGTTAAAATAGAACAACAGTACAAATGCTACACATTGAATTCAAAAGGAAGACATCTGACAGAATAAAAAAATATAATATACAATATAATATCAACCCGCTTAGGTATGTAATTCACACACTTGGGCAAACAACCAGGTTTTCCAAACTTTTGGCAAGGAGGGTTGGAGCCAATCTGATCTCAACATCAGACATAGCCCAAGAACATTAGCCCAAAAGGAACTGAACAAAGTTCAGTTCTTTATTTCCTGACACCATATAGACAGGATCTTGCCAGACTAAACCTATAAGGTGCTCACCCAACTGATATATCCTGGAGATTCTATAGGTCAGCTATCCTACATCTCTTCCTCTTCCCACAATCCAACTCTGTACTGGGCTGCTTTTGTCTTGCCCCATCCTTGGAACATGCTCCCTCCTTCCTGAGAACCTGCTACATTACTCTCCGTCACACAGACAGCAAGGTGTTCTAGAGGGCAGGACTGTGTCAGAAAAGACACAGTTCCTAGGTTCCACAGGATAGCATTCTTCAATTGATGGAACCCAGATCTAATATATTATATGATTGAAATAGCAATGGTCCTTGTTTTTTTTCCACTTTATAAAATTACAAACAGAACTGAAGAGTAATATATATGATTCCTGACTTGACATCTTCTTTGTAACAAAAAAACATTGCCTTCTTGCCGAAATCTCAAATCTGGTCCATTAAATTAAATTTACATTAGATATAGTTAGATATATTTTCTTTTTACTGATTTAGAAATTTAAAGCATACGAAAGAACCAAAGCTACATTCATAATCATACTAACCTTAAAATAAGGCCTACTAAATTCAGTTGATCTTTCTGAGTGAACATGCATGAATGGTACTTATTCATTCTTTTTCTTCCTTAAAGTCTAAATTGTACTTTTTAACAATATTATAATGATAGAAATATTCAAGACACAAATAGATGGAATATCTTTGGAAGCCAAAGAATCCATCTGTTAAATTGCAGGATACTAATACTGATAATGAAGATTTAAAATCTGTAATTGCATTATCTTCTGTGTTTAATCATCCATGATTAAAATAAAGTAATATATTAGGAAAATCATTTGAAACTAATTGATTCAGATGAAAGTGGCATGAAATCCTTCCTTTCTTTGTTGCATTTTTTCAGAGTATTGATTAATCTCACTGATTATTTTGCATGCTATCTTGGGATCAAGACCTATTTAAGCCAATGGAATTTATTTTTAAATAGGGTTGCATGGTTAATAGCATTGTGGCCACTTTGTAAATAATTGAGAAGAAATACTTTGGATCTTGCACAACCATATTATCTCTCTAATATATATCTTTAAAGCTACCTAGTTTATTTTTTAAAAAAAAACAGCCGCCTTAAGAATTTGAGAAAAAAGGACTTCTCTAATGAATAGAAGAGAGATGCTGTGTTTATGTGTGATTGAAATAATTTCTTAATCATTTTGGAACTTCACACTGTCCCCTTAGTTAATTAACTTACTCCCTATAATTGAAACAGTTGAAGCAGAATAACAGAATTGGAAGTGTTCTAGTCCAACCTTTTAAAGCTTTGGTCTTGCGTATTGATTGATTGATTTGATTTGATTTGATTTTGGCACCATCCAACTCCAAATTGACTTTGAACAATCACAATATGACAAAATAAGGTTTCTTTTCTTAGAGATAATAATCAGTAAATGATGAACAACCAATATCTTAGATAAATACATATAAAATGCAGCCACCTAACACAAAGCCTGATAGAACAGTCAGCTCTTGAAGATCTTCCAGAGTATCATCAGAGTGGAAATCATCTGATTATGGTGGTGCAGTGGTTAGAGTGCAGTACAGCAAGCTACTTCTGCTGATTGCCAGCTGACTGCAATTTGGCAGTTCAGATCTCATCAGGCTCAAGTTGACTAAGACTTCCATCCTACCGAGGTGGCTAAAATGAGGACCCAAATTGTTGGGGGCAATATGCTGACTCTGTTAACTGCTTAGACAGGGCTGTAAAGTAGTATATAAGTCTAAGTGCCATTGCTATTGCTATCTCAGGAGGACCTCATTCCAAAGGGCAGGCAGCACAATAGAGTCATCCCAACAGGTGACAATGTTTAATTGAAGGGACTTGGTTGGCTCACTAAGATGGCTAAGCAGAAACCTCTGGAGATAAGTAGTCCTTCAACTCTGTTAGAACCGTTGGAAATTGGATAAACTATGAATCAACAGAACTCATTGAGATGAGTGAAACTGCTTTAAAATGTGTGCTATCATTTCCAGGCAGCTTTAGATTAGCAGTAGCACTCTTAGACTTATATACTGCTCCATAGTGCTTTACAGCACTCTCTGAGAAGTTTATAAATGTCAGCATATTGTCCTCAACAGTATGGGTCCTCATTTTACTGACCTCAGAAGGATGAAAAGATTGAGTCAACTTTGAGTCCTGTCAGGATTGAACCCCAGGCTGTGGGCAGAGTTTGCCTGCAATACTGCACTTAATCACTGGGCCACCAGGTTGCAATTCCCTTTGTACACTTTTCTTATCTTCCCCCTTCCCCATTTGTATCTGAAGCACAGTTATTGATGTCTATTGGCTAACTGGAATCCAATACATTATTTAGGATTCAAAGACAATACACTGGAACCCAGCGGGGAAGATGCCAAAGAGGATATTTATGGAATGAATATTAAAAAAAACAGAGAAATTTCAATCCATATCTCTTCAGCAGGATCCAAATCCCAAGAATGGTGACACTGGGAATTCCATAATAGCCTTCAGGACTTTGTGTCTACACTGAGGTTTAAATTGTGTGGGAGCTTTTGGCATCTTCTCAGTCAGGCCATATAACCAAAAGCATCTGATAGCACACCTTATCAGGCACTTGATCATAATTTTAGAACCCTTGCCACAAATATTTTTTTTTTATTGAAGACAAGGTCTCTAGCAGATAGTACCAGGGGATGGTCTAATGTCATGCCTTATCAGGATCTTGGAAATCCAGATATGTGACCCTTTGTTAATGAGAATATTGTACTTAGGCAGCTATTGTTCCTCTTCCCTTGGCAGCTATTAGATTAAAGAGTTGGCGTTGTCCTCTTTATCTAAATGGTTACAAGCAAGAATACAGATAAGGAGCAGCCAAGAGTGATTAACAACATGCAATCCACACAGTCTATGCTCATTTGTGGAGGAATTTGCAATGCAAAGCATTCCAAATTACATGCAATGTGTCTAAATAATCCTTTCTGCACAAGTACTTCCTGTATATGTAAAGAGCCAAGGGGGTCCATACCACTAGTCCTCACAGTTTTCTGTGAGTACCAAAGCAGGACCATAAAAAGAAAATCCACTCCAGCCATTCTAAATTGTAATTTTGCAAAGTGAGATTACCCAGCGATAACGTTTGTCCTGAAAAGCAGTTGAACCCATTGAGGCAGAATTAGTGGCCAGAATAACTTTGCATGCATTTGGAAGCATGCTAATTGAAGCATATAATTCAATTAGCATCAGGTGTTCTGGGTAAAATAATAAGCCAAACTCTACTCCTATGGCCATTGCCACAAACAATGAGATTTTTTTTCTTTTATGGGTGTAACGTCACGATATGACTCTTAAATGTAATTTTCCCCTACTTACTAAAAGAAATGAATTGTGTCCTGCTCCTCCACCCTCCCAATAAAAAAACAACATTTACCTGGTTTAGAATAATAAATGAGGATTAGCCTGGAGAGCTTTGAGCACAAAGGAGTTAAACATTCCATGTCTATTGGGTTCTGGACTTTAATTTCATAATCTCATATACTCAGCTTCCACTAATGCTTTGTAGTTTGCTTCATGAAATTAAGATCTCTAATGTGTCTGGGAAGGAAATATATATATATATATTATTTTCACCACAACTGCTTAAAATTAGGCAAGAGAAAAAGGCACAGACTCTTTAAGCTAATTGTGACTCCTGGTGATTAATTTAGATAGATAGATAGATAGATAGATAGATAGATAGATAGATAGATAGATAGATAGATAGATAATTTTATTTCTATACCACCCCTCTCCCGAAGAACTCAGGGAGGTGCACAGCCAAGTAAAAACACAGTACAAATCCCAATTAAATTTAAAAATTATTACATTTAGGGCCAAAATTCGTTAAAACCCAAAAATTTAAAACTCCAAATTTAAAACTCCTTTACAAAGATAGCCCTGCCTGTCGGAAGAGCAGGGTCTTGAGGGCACAGCGAAAAACTTGGAGATCAGAGATTGTGCGTATTTCCGAGGGCAGATCGTTCCAAAGGGCAGGAGCTCTTTGAGACATCTGTGTTATTTTCATGAGAGAGATGGTATTTCATTGGCTTCTTCTGGGATGATTTTTCAATTTGCCATTCTAGCCTACAAACCTTTGGCTTTTCCTGGTGATCTCCCATCCACAAACTAGTTAGATCCAACTCTGCTTCGCATTTTTTTAAAAGAGCCTCCAAAAGTTGGCTTGGTACTATTATCAAAGCTGGACTCAGATCAGATATAGGAAGAGTAATATATATTTATAAACTGTGTTTGTAACTTTTAAAAATTGGACAGTCACTTTAATATCTGCAATAGCCGAGATAGAAAATGCATTTATTTATAATGTATGAAATATTAGAGCGATTTCTCATTTCTCTGTCTCTTAGGCAAGTAATGGCATGGCATTTCAAGTAATGCATTTTCTTCATTTTTTTCCTTCCATGGGAAATGGAGTGAAAATAGCCCTTTTGACATATGCTCACACTTTGCAGACACGCTCCATGTATAGAATTGGTGAAAGAAGCTCCTTTTTCATTATTACTACCAGTAAATCAAGGAGCATCTATCTGACAAAAGAGTGAGGGTTCCTCTACCACCACCACTCAGTATCATTGGACATAATAAAAGCTGTTTCTCTGTGCTTGAAAGTGAAGCTGAGAATGGAAATTACTACAGAGGCACCCATGAGGAATGAATCTAACTTTTCCAGGGAAAAGTAACCGGTGTTGGAGGGATGCCTTGAAGTGCATTATCGCTGTATTTGCTGAAGCTGATAACAGAAATAAGCCAATATTCTTAAGGCAGGACCAATTAACTGAACAGCATCAGTTATTGATTTATTGATTGGATTTATTTATTTATTGGATTTATTTGTTGGATTTATTTATTGATTGGATTTATCTACCGTCCATCTCTTCGTGAACAACTCTGGCCAGTTTCCAGCATTGTCTATTCAGTTGTACACAAAATGAGCTTGTATCAGGGAGTCATCCCCAAATTATTCAGCTCACTGACCCCTTTATTGAGTTTCAGATTGTTCGTCAACCCCCAATATACAGTATATTGTGTAAAAATAATTTAATAAATGCTACTTTAACTAATAGTACTATGAACAATAACAACCATAATAGAGACAACTCAATCATCAAGCCTTACTGATGGTTGACCATCCAAACCTGGGGAATGCCGCCATGAGTCTCCAGAGAGGGGCGGCATATAAATTTAATAAATAATAATAAATAATAATGCTGTCTCACTGCCGGCCACCTCAACTTCAGGACTAGGGACTAGTATGGATCTCAACACCAACTAAAATTAATTGACCCCAATTGATCTTCTATCATTTATCAGCCTTCTACTGACCACCATACATTTACTGATCCCCTTTTGACCCTTAGCCACTTATCAACCTCTTGGATAATCCTAGCAACCCTTGGGGGTCAGTATTGACCACTTTGGGCAACCCTGTTATAAAATGAAACCATGCCTAGAAAATTCTTTTCTTTACTTTCACAGAAAGGCTTATATAGCAAACTCCTCTCCTTGTTAGATACTCCTGAGTTTCAATTTATCTTCAACCATCTCAAGATACAGAATATGTATCTTCACTGATATGACCTCACATACGAAGTCAGATTAACTTCTCCTTTTAGAAGACAAATTATATTTTAGATACAATGACAGAATTGGAGGGGGGGGGGGAATTCAAGGCATCTCCCAGACCTGACAATTGGGGAGAAGCGTTCAGGGGAAAACCTATTTCAGGAAAAAAAATTGATAATATGGATTTTAAAAATTGCTAAAATAGAAATATTGACTTAGATTACTGTTAATTTGACTGTGGGTGTTTGGGTCTAATTTATTGTCTCATTCCTTGTGTGCTTTATACAAATGAGCACCATTTTCTGTCAGAGTTGCTTCTATATTGTAGTATCATGTAATTTGCTCAGAGCCTTGAATTAGCTTGGAAATTTTTCTCTCAGAGGTTCTTTTCAGATGCTGTCTGTCATTAAAATAGCACTATTTTCATCTCCTTAGCTACTGAATGTTTTATCCACAGGATGCTTTAAAGCTAAAAAGAACTTTATATACTCCCCCCTCCCTTTTAATAACATTTTTATTGTCTCTGTGCTTTGTGAATTATTTGGTCTATCTTCCACAAAGCAGAAAAGAAAGGAGGGCTGAATTTCACTAGTTAGATTTCTCCATACTATTAGGCAGGAGGTATGGCAGCCTAGTCTCACTCATGCCCCAGGACTAAGGGGAGAGTATATGTGAGGTGTTTCCTGATATTTAGATGGAGACAGCAAGAATCACCAAATGCTGCATCAAGGCAGGAAATGGAGCTAGAGTGTGTAGACCCGAAGGACCTCTGGGAACAGTTCTTCCACCCTGCCACTACAGTAGGTAAAAACAAAAAAAGGACATTAAGAACCAACCTCATGCCTCAAATAATTTTTTCCTCTCCTTATGTCTTCCAAGATTTTGGGTGGCAGCCAGGGGTGAAATGTACTGGTTCTGACAGGTTCTCCCGAACCGGTAGTAAAAAATGCTACCAGTTTGGGTGAACTGGTATTTCCGACGATCAACTGTGACACGCAATTTATATTAGCTAGAATCGTCAGATTTCGTGCTTTCTAGCTAATCTAAATCACATGGCACTGCAGATTCCCCCCCCCCTCACTGTTCTACTTACCTTTGCAGACTTGGAAGTCTTCAAAGGAAGTGTTCCTTTTTTAGTGCTGGGTGGGTATGCCTTAGGCATGCATGTGCGCAAAGCGCACACTCGGGAGGAAACTCACAGAATGGGTAGCAGACTTCAGAGGATTTCACCGCTGGTGGGGGCATGATTGTTTTGTGCCTGATACACAGGAAGGAGTCTTAACTGGGCCAGGTAGATGGAGGAAAAATATTTTTTTCTTTTTCATAGTTTTTTTCAGTAGAGATATAAAGTGACAAAAAATAACAAAAGTTATTTTTATTTTGAGTTTCCAGGCTTTGACAGGATAGCTAGATTAGTGTTAAGGAATGGAAGTCTGTCATATACTATGGAAAAGTGAGATGACATCTAGGCCCAGCTCGTCAAAGACATCTTGAAATTCCAGATTCCAAGAGTCTCGTGCCTGAAGAAAGGGCAGATGACTCAACTGCACAACTGGACACAATGAACTAAGCATTGTGATGGGACCTATTGACCCACTTGAGTTAAATTAAGAAATTAACTAAATAAAATAAATAAATAAATAAAATTGAACCCTTTGGTAAGGCCTATGAAATGGCTTGAGATGAAATGGACAACTATGCACTATTTTTAAAAATGCTGCAAGAATTGATGCCTGAAAGTCCTAAAAAGAAATTTCAAGGCTCTATGGTGAAAGATGTCTGATTCCTTTAAAACCTTCACTCATAGAATGGACATGACATATACCTGATGTAAACAGCCGATACAATTAGAGAAATCAAAACACTGATGAAACTGAAACAGTTCATGGCTAACTACTCAACCATATTTATGATCAAGCATTTCTAATGATGCTAAGAAACTTGAAAGACACTAAGAGGTTGCTTCAAGACTGCCAGGGGAAATGGTAAAGTACCAAAGCAACCATCCCAAGGTATTCACCAGACTTAAGAGGAATTCTGGTTAAAGTCAGTCAACGTCTTATACCATGTCAAGCACTAAAAATACTACATTATACTACATTTTTCATCATAAAACATACTACTATAAGCAAAGTTCCTGACAGACCCAGCATCCACATGTTTCATATGTAGAAAAGTGAGACATGTCATCAAACTTAATTTTAAACCAGATTGAATCAAAAAGTCTAAGGCAGGAATAATCTTCCAATAAATTGTTTTCTAAACTCAGTGTGAATACTATTCCATCCCTGAGGTGAGTCAGTTTAGTACTATATAGAGATCCAATCTGGAGAGATACTAGAGCCAGGATTTTCCCAGGCACCACAAATGCAAATAAACTATTCTTGGGAAGCTAACTTTCAGTGGAGAGGCTGGAGAATGAAGTGGGACTTTGTAAGGATGAAGGATCACCCCTATGTCATGCCATTCTGGGATGATTTACTTTGATGGGTCTAATATGGTAGACCCTTCCACTCAGACAAAACTTGTACATCCTAAACATTCTTGTGAATAATTCCAGCAGTAGTTCTAAAGTCTTAATAATTTTCTGATTCTTTCTAAGGTAACATGCACTTCATACATCTATGGTTGAAAAAGACTGCATTGATTTGTGCTGTGTTTAATAATGAAATGGAATACACGGCATTTGTGTGTGCGTGCGCACGTGCGCACACGTGTAAATTCATTTTAGTGATTGCTTTGGAATAACTAGCTAGCAATACATGGCACAGGCTCCATTGCATAATATTAGCTTAAGTATATCCAGCAAAATGAATCTGAGATGCACATCTGCAGTATCCAATACACTGTTCTTAGACAAGTATTGGGAGAGAACTGCCAATAGTTGGGCTGAGTATTTAAGATGGCAAACTTTGCTCCTTCATAAACTAAAATAATTCCAGGTAAGCTTTGGCCTCCATTCATCCTGAATATGTGCCTTGTATCAAAGTATCTAATTTATCTAAGAGGTATTGATTCGGGCATATATAGGAGGCATGATAATTTTGATCTAGCTATGTAGAATCCAAAAGGAAAAATCTAGAAAATCAGTGCCAGGCTCAGGCTTATGACTGACCTGGTCTCTGTTTTGCTTGCCTCCAGGTGCCTTCATCCCCCGCTGCAATGAAGAAGGCTATTACAAAGCAACTCAGTGTCATGGAAGCACTGGCCAGTGCTGGTGTGTGGATAAGTATGGAAATGAGATTGCTGGCTCTAGGAAGCAAGGAACCGTAAGCTGTGGTGAGTAACATCATACTTTCTGCAAGAAAATAGGAATTAACTCTGTAATGCTGACTAGGAAAGCACAATATGACATCGAATAAATATATTAGGACAACCATATTCATGTTTTTGTATTTATTAAACAGATGTGCTCATACAATAAACATATCTTTCTAAGCATGAAAGACAATATAAAATTGGTAAAAGTATCCAGTTTGCTTTTTCTGTCAGTTTAAAAGACAAGAGTGGTTTATACTTACGTAAAATATTCTGATGGAGTGATTATTGGGGGTAGGATGTTTTGTTTGAGGTTTAAAATAATATGATGTACTCCATACCGGGGAGGGTAACCCACATACAAATAAGGAATTTAACAGAGTTGCTTTAGGATTAGGCAATGCTTCAGAAATCATTCATAAAAGATGCTTTGAAGGAACCATATCTTTTCCTGGGGTACCCCTATTCAAAGCACATTTTTGGAATTGCAACTGAAGCATTGCACAAGCATCGTTGTCACAGAAGTTTCATAAAAATGGTTGCTGCTAACACTGCAACCGCACATATTGCATGTTGCAAATATGACATCTCAAATCAGCAAGTCCCACTAAAGGCTCACTGGACCTTGAGCAGAATCCAGAATCCACTGCCCACCATCATTCTCGGTCAAATGAGATGCAAACAACACCAAAAAGGAATTCTGTTTGCCAAGTGCCAAGACAGTGAGCAGGTGCCCAGGCAATTGGTTCTTTTTGATACAGTGGCAGTAAGCACACCAGGGAATGAAAGGATTTCAAGCTATACAGTAGAACCTCTGGTTACGACCATAATTCGTTCCATAACTTTGGTTGCAAACTGATTTGGTCATGACCCGAACCTAATTTTGGAAATTTGGCGTGTACAAAAAAAATGGTGTGGAAGGGGAAATTGGCCGTGAAAAAAAAAATTGTGAATTTTTTGGTTGGATCCCGATTTGGTCATGGTCAGAAGCATTTGTGACCAGAGGTTCTACTGTATTATTAACTCAAGCAGACAGATGTAAGAGCGTAATATAAAAAGTATACTCATCAAGCAACATAATACCCAAATCTCTCATAAACTGCTGGAGCTCTTTAATAAGTATAGCAGTGATATCCCAAGGGCAACCAGATTCCACATTACCCATTGTTAGGTTCTGTGCAGAGGCAAGCAACAAGCAACAATAGCAATAGCACTTAGACTTATATACCACTTTACAGTGCTTTACAGCCGTCTCTAAGCTGTTTAGAGAGTCAGCATATTGCCCCCAACAATTTGGGTCCTTATTTCACCTACCTCAGAAGGATGGAAGGCTGAGTCAACCTTGAGCCTGGTAAGATTTGAACTGCCAAATTGCAGGCAATTGGCAGTCAGCAGAAGTAGCCTGCAGTACTGCACTTTAACCACTGTGCTACCGTGGCTCGATAACCAAATAGTTTTTATCAAAGCCTGGCATCATTGTCTTCATGGCTCTGCTGTGGTCATGAGACTGCAGGACCTGACCTAGGCTGGCTGGCACATGACTCTCGAATGCAAACCGAGAGTCTGTGTAAGGATTCTCCTGCTTTTTCCTTTTTTCAGCAAGCAAGATTTAAAAACAAGCAGTTTAGTGCACAATGAGCTCTAAACTTCTAGACTTTTCTTAAGATGGAAGAAAAATCATAATACGTTACCAAACTCTCAAAATAATAATGGTCTTCTACATTGCCACTACAAACTCCTCTAGGAGCGCCAAGTGAGGAAAATGAAAAGGGCACATTTTGACTTTTGAGAAATGCAGTCCTGAAATTTTTGTAAGGCAGTCTATTCAGAGGCATTGATTCCTATAAATAGAAAGTCTGAGTCTGGAATTTCTTCTTTAAAATCAAAGCATGAGCAGCCACAGAGTTGGAGTTTATTTAATTGTAAAATGACTACATATAAGGAAAGTGGAGGAGTTTAGACTTCAAGGGCCCTTTTCCATTTTTCCTAGCTGCAAATATATTCTTTGCATCCTGTACATTTGCAATGGGAACATTCTGTGTTGGAGAGACCTCTGGATTTATTTATTTTTTTATTAAGGCACACTTTCAATTAAGAAAAGTGCAACCAGCCAGGAATAGTAGACAGGCTGACTGTCAGGAAGGTTTGTCGGCTATTATTGATCTTTGCAGGGAACATCCACTCAGCTCTCAAGGCACATAGACGTTGAAAGCCAAATCTGTATACACCATGCAGCCCAACAACCAAAGTGACAAACAAACCACATAATTATTTTGAATGACTTTTATCTTCTTATTCGACTTGGTAGATAGGATCACAATTGGAATATTTCTTGTTCCATTTATATTATATTATTTCTTGAGATGTCGAATCACGATTGACAGTAGTGTTTAATGATGCTTGTGGGGAGGTGTTTTGAGGCTTGCAATTTACTGAGACCACCGACTCATTTCAGATACCTTCGAATACTCATCAGATGGTGATGTCTTTCAGTCACCATTGACCTGGAATGGATTTGAACCAACTATTTAGAAATGTAAGGTTCTGTCTTCAGCTGTTGCTTCCTCCTGAAAACGCATGGTTTGGGGGGGTTCTGCCAGAACTGTATGCACTTTTGAGTTCCCATTGTGATATGGTCCATTGTGGGGGGAAATATCTAAAAATAAAACTGACAAGAAGAATGAGTATAACTTAATGGAGGAAATGGTTGATGTGCCAAGGCAGAAAACTGGGCTTAAATTATAGCTGTGACTTCTTCCCTTTTGCAGAAGAAGAGCAAGAAACCTCAGGGGATTTTGGTAGTGGTGGATCAGTGCTATTGTTGGATGACCTGGAAGAAGCACATGAAGCAGCAAAAAAGGACAAACAGAAGATACATGTAAGAGCAACTAATGAGGACGATGAAGATGAAGATGACGATAAGGATGATGAAATTGGGTATATATGGTAGTTCCCATAACTCTGAGGACTCATGTTTTGCACAATGTCACAAATCATTTTGTATCTCTGCAGAGATAATGGAAAACATCAGGCATCACACATGAAGTTCAGTCAATAACTGTACGGGCCTCCCAGTATGCACACTGATCTCCTTCCCAATTGAGCTTTCTTTTCACTTTACTGGTAGCCTCACCTCCACAGGCACACTGGAGATCAGCATGCATTGCTGAATTTGTCACTAAAGTGAACTGGGAAGACCTTTTGCATGTGGTGCACCTTGTACACAGGGGGTAACTTTATACATACATGTGCATTTGGGTTCCTGCAGCCATCATGCCACCAGTAAGGACAACTCTCTCGCCACTTGATTTAATTTTGTATGCTCTGTATTAATTTGGAAGACCACTTTCACTCTCAAATTCTCCTTCTCTTCAGCATAACCATATGCATTATTCTCATTTGTTTTTCACTTTTTTCCATAATTAACCCATTCACGCAGCATATCATTTTGAATGAAACAGAGACCACAGAAGGGAGGAGGGGGAGATAGTCCATAGTAAACTTCTTTCACGCTATAGCTTCCATGGTTTTCATACGGCGGGTCCTTTTTCATTGTGACATTTGCTGTCAGCTACCCACTCTGTTTTCTTTTCAGCAGCTAAGGCAGGCGATCGTTTTGTCTTGCTATGCAGAACCTGTTAGAAAAGATCAAATTGCTTTAGCGTTCTGGTTTGGCCAAATTATTTCATTTTATCTCCTTCTCACTTTGCCTGATGTTGTTTAGCGAAAGGAGAGCCGAATGCCAATAGTACTCCGTTAAAGTTCTCCCTGCTGACTAGGAGTGTAGAGGACAAGATCTCAGTTGACCTTTCAGCCCATTAATCAATTTCAGTTCAGTTTAAGTTAATGAAAGTGATGTTGACTTCAAAAATAAATTGTTGATTTGCATGCTTACACACGAGGCTCACTTTTTGACTTCTAACAAAGAGGAACCTTCTTTTCAACACATAGGAGGAAGTCATGCTTCGCAAAGCCGTTTCTTTGCTTCTTGTTAGTCTTTTTGCAGACTTGCAAGTCTCGAATTTGTTTTAATCGAGTTTGCGCTAATGCTATGCAAGCTTCTCTCTGCTTCCGGAATAGCATACCATTGGATTGCTGAAAATGCTTTTTTTTTTCCATTTAGTCTAATGATTCCTCATAGGGAAGCACTGAAACTGTCAGAGGCACTAACCATCAAAAGTAATAAGCTGTCTTTCCTTTATTTAAAATTGTTAGTATTTATTTGCTCCAGTTTAGAAGAAAAATATCCTTAGGCAGGTGTTTCCATGGTTAATATCACTCCTAGTTAACATCACAAGAGAAACTTACACTCATGAACCAGAAGAGTGTGGAATAGAATTATCCCATAAACGGTCCTGAATTATTCTATCTCCATAGCAGCATCTTATTGTGCTCAATTGCCATTCATTGTGGGAAAATAAATGTGCTACTGCAGACATTATAACAGGTGCCCATTTTTTTCTTATTAAATGCAAGAAAATCAACTGCTACATAAGTCTTTTAAATTCTGCAAAAACTAAGGGCCGTCTCTAGTCTGTCTTGATCCTCAGTCTTAACACTAAAGACAAATACAAAAATATTTGTATTTGAATGCAAATTAAAAAAGAAAGAAAAGTGTATGTTAAAGATGCTACTTCTTTGATATAAATTTCTAATACTTTTTCTAAATAACTAAAAACTGGCATCTACCCATAGATCATTGTTTATTCTATTAGAACTTGGCTTATTTATGCCTTTTGTTTCTGGTGCGATGTAGTCCGAGTTGCTTTTAAACAGAAGTTATACAAAAAAGGCCTGAAAATGAATCCTTCAAAATAATACCAAATTTGTGAAAGCTTAATACTGCAGTTTTCATCTTGTTTAACTCCTCCTAGAGAGAGCAATCCAAATTAATTAGTCGACAGAAAAGGTGCATCCCAGACAGAACATTTTCTGAATTTTTTTTCCCACAAAGATTTCTAATATCTTAATACACAGTTTGGCTTTGATATTTGATTCCTAAGGTTATTTGATATTTGACTCCTAAGGAATCAAATTTCTATCTATCATCTACTGCGGAGCCCCAGTAAAGAAATTCATATAGTCGCTTTGATTTCTTTTTTTAAAAAAAGAATGCTTTATCTATAGCAACCCAAACTGTGATGTGTGTTATTACATTTAATATGACATACAATGAAGCCATTGGGCTCTGCCCTAATTGCCATTTGGCCTCTACTTATAGCCAAGCATGTACACTGGAGGTTTGTACAGAACTCCGAAGCAAAGGAATATAAACTGTTACCTGATTTTCTTACCAAGCCCTAACCCTCTTTCAAAAAAAAAAAAAAAGCCATGAAACTAATTTTGTTTAGAAGAGCTGCAACAGAAACGAGTAGCAGCTGATGGTAAAAGTTATACTGCTGGCTACATCCAGCAACTGGTACTGGGTCAAACCTTGGAGCATTGCAAAGCCATTACATGTTGATATCATCTTCTCACTCCAAGTGCTGTAACATATCACACTTGTAAGGTACTTCAGAAAACCAAACCGTGGGATGTTTTTTCCCGACTCGTGCTTAAAAGTTCTGTAAAATTAATGAGGTTTGCTCCCGAAAGCAAGTGATGTTAAGTGCAATGTACAATACGAATTGCACTGGCTGCAGTCTTTAGATTTGGCTGCAGAGCTATTAAAGAAAAGTCAAAAGCCAGTTGGAAGCTGTAATATAATGCCCACTTTTCATTCTCCTGATTAAAGGTGAGGTTTCTGCTTAATAAAGCTCCTAGAAATCATCTTCCCTTTAGTTGCAATGAAATGCTGTCTGTCGCACACTGGAAAGTAACTTACATTTAGCTTCATTTTCAACACAAACAGTAACATGAGAGAAGCTTTTTGAGGGGGTTTGCATATGTGTATGTGCATGTTTGTTTGGTGTCCCCCTGTTGCTGAATATTGAATCAGTGATTTCTCCTACTTCACTAGCACCCACCTCTGCAACTCACAGGAAATTCTATTTAAATCCGACAATAAAATTCCCACTGATTTAAAATGGATGTAGCAGACATGATTACTTTCATGAATAAAACAGCCCTAATCCAAAAGTTGGGGGGGATCCAAATTGGGAGATCTGTTGGGTTTAAATGTAATATTAACAGTACATTTCATCTGATTATAGACTTGTACAAAAAAAGAGTTTGTTTATCTTCTTGTTTCTTCAAAATCTGTAATCCATCTGTTGATCCCACAGTCTTATGGTAATACAGTTTTTGTTTGTATGTGGTACCTCTGTGCATTCAAAGTTGCCAACACATGGTGGTGTACAATTTGTTGAAGAGGTGTTTGAAATGTTTTCCCTGAAATATAATATCCTACACTAAACCATGGCAAAAGATGTGAATGTTATAAAGGAGAAAGTCATTTAATATATGCTGAGTAGAAATGAAGTGTAACTGATAACCTCCTTAATTTTAAGAACACATATAAAATAAACTGTTATGGATTTGCCCTGGTCCATCTTCATTTTGTCTGTACCTGCAAACTATAATCATTGTCCTGTTTGTGATTTCCTCTCATCTGATTTCCTGTTTGTCTAGAGCAGGGGATGTCCAACCTTGGCAACTTCAAGACTAGTGGACTTCAAGTCTCATGGAATGGCTGGCTGAGGAATTCTGGGAGTTTTTTTTTTATTATTTTATTATTATAATTTATATGCCGCCCTTCTCCTGTGGGACTCGGGGTGGCTCACTCAATAAAAACAACATCAATCATCAATAAATACTAAAACCAATCCAATTAAAATCCCCAAAATTAAAAGCCTCGTAACCGATCAGGGAATTTGCTGAAAAAGCCATGTCTTCAGGCCAGCGCAGAAAGTGCGGAGATCAGGAGCTGTCCAGAGCTCGGTGGGTAACCCATTCCAGAGGGTCGGTGTGGCCACAGAGAATGCCCTCATCCTGGGGGTCGCCAATCGACGGCACCCGGAGGAGGGCAGCTCTATGTGAACGCATTGGGCAGTGGGAGGCCGGTAGGAGGTGTTCCTGCATGTACCCCGGGCCCATGCCATGAAGAGCTTTATAGGTAAGAACCAGCACCTTGAAGCGGACCCAGAAGGCCACAGGCAGTTGAACTTCATGAATCTTAAAGTTGCCAAGGTTGAACACCCTGATTAGTGAAAACATTTTAAGCTTGGAAAGGGGGCAAGATTTCAAGGATGTGTTATAAACCACCATGGATTTATGTAATTTCAGGTGGGAAACTTTCAGGAACAACTACAACTATAATTATATCAATTTATCAAGAGTATGTAAAAGAAAGACCAAGCCTTGGTAGCCCCATGAAAGCAGAGCCAAAGAAACAGAATAGAACTGTGCCTTTGGAGGAACTGAAAAGTGGCAGCATAATTTCCCAGTCATTGTCATGAGAAATACTTTGCTTCATTAAAAAACAGTAAACAGTAAATAAGCTTTGGGGAAAGGGACAAAAGGGCAAAACTACACAGGATAATCTAAGCAAGCCTTATAACCTATTATTCCTCTGCAAAACTGTGCAAAACTAGAACACGTCCGAACACAAAGCCATGGCAGCATCTCTGAGTTTCCTATCAAGCCAGAGAATGCAGCAATTCATTTCTCATTAAACTTCTAAGGGAAAAAATAATAATAATGTAACTACTATTTTGTCTTACCAAGCCAATAATAGGCCTCCTGTCCTAACTTCTCTCTAAAAAAAAAAAAAAAAAATACTTTATAGCTTTTCATGGATTGAACTGCTACCGGACAAAAGATAACAACGATGTTTGGCTATGCGTATAACCAGAACACAAATTGGGTTATTTTGTACTACATTATATTCAATTTTGATACAGTGATATGAACCAGCAGCTGGCTCAAAGAGATTATAATCAAGAGCAATCTTTGTCAAAGACCAAGCCATATTGTGGACTTGTCTCTAAACATGCAGCTTCCATTCCATTGTTTTATGAATCATCTTTTTAGAAGATTTATACGCTCCCTTTTAATATTCCCATTGTTTCTCATCCATGCTAAACCTATTGTTGACACTATCAGTTTTTCCTGTAATTAGCTATTGGAGTTTCCATTACTACCTCATATATCCCATTCCATCCACCTCAGTTACAAGTTGATGCCCAAGTACCATCATTTTACCAGGAAGATTCTCATCTGCAAAAGTTGTACCTCTTCCATGTTGCTGCCTATCAGAATTTCTGCATCAGGACAAACAAATTCATGTTTGCCCAAATAATTCTTATATTATCTGCCTTCGAGCTAGGAAATTCTAACCTCAGCAGATAACCATTTCCTCCAAAGTGTATGTACATAGAGGGACAGTACTGAAAATCAACTAACTTTAGACGTATTTGAAGAGCCACAATCTTCTATTCTAATGTTTAATAGCCTAAAAGGTTCTGAACTTGGTTGCACCAGGAGATAGGGCAAAGCATACCTGCAATATGTGAGCTTGGGAGGGAGCAACTATTGCAGGTATATAGGTGGTATTCGTTACTCTAAAAGACTATAGCACTAAGAACAAGAGGAAGAATAGTTAACTCCTAGATCTCAGATATTAGAATGTTGCTTACTTTCCTCTGAAGCTTCTATTGGCATCACCTGCTGGACCATAACTAAATAAAAGAAGCTCTGATATCACATTGATGTTTTTGGGGAGCCTGCTTCTTAAAAAGAAGCTTGTGACTTTAGGCCTTCCCTATTTCCAACCAACACTTAAAACACAAGGATATTCCAAAGATTTTTTTCACTAATCATATTGGATTCTTGATTTGCACTGTGACAAGATTTTCCTTCTAAATGGTGCAGTTTTAATTGCAATTTTCCAGTAATTATTATCAGAATAATTTTTAAAAACCATGATGTAATATAATCTAATACATTATATTGTGGAGAACAGATGCATGTATAGAAACCTTGCCTAGATAGTGGCACTTAAGATTTACAATGAAATGTAAACAATGGCTATAGACAATTAATGTTATATATTGTTGCATGATGTTTACATTCATGTAAACTCTTAATCACGTAAGAAAGCAAATGGTTTTTTACAAATATATATTTAGAACAGCATCTGCATTATTAAGGTTATATCTGGATTATTATGACCATTTTGGTACTCTAAAGCCAAGAGTATGATTTTTAACCCAAGTTAATTGCCATCTACTGAACTGGTTTTATGAATGGGTTCATACGCACTCAGAATGGAAGTCAGTATAATAATGTGGACATATAAAGATTATGCCTGCTACAGTATTTCAATGTGTATGGAAACAATATTTAGAAACCATATTCATTTTTTAAAAAAACTTCTAATAGCACAAAAAAAAATCTGGCAAAGTGAAGAGTGAAAAATCTTTCTAGAAAGCAAATCTCATAATCTAATTGAATTATTTTATGAGGTGTTAAATATACCATCAACACTGATTATTAGAATTATTAGTACTCTATTTGTTCATAATTAACACCTACTTTTTAAATGGTTAACGCAAGCTCCATTAAAGCCATGATATAAGAACTCTTACTGTAGCCTTTTGCCCTCTTGTTTGAAACTATGCTTCAAAAAAGGATTTTAGTTCATTAAAATAATAAATAAATGAGTTATTTAATTCTGTATAAGGTAGAGTCATAAATATTATACCCTAGAGCGAATTAAGTATTCTGTTTCTCCCATTGGGAAACAAAAAGCTTTTAACTTTCCTCCAGCTTCATTTTATTTCTATTTCCCTTAAAGTATTCCATTTTTCTTCGAATCATTGACCTTCCCAATATTAGAAAACTGGTAACTCCCATATAAAAAAAGAACCAGGGCAGTCTAGAAATACTCCAACCTATTAACTCTGTGTAAATGGAGCCATTTTGAAATATGGAAGCTTTTAGAGCTGCTGCCTAATTTTGTTACATTATCTTTACTAAAAGAATCATTATGGTTTCACATTGTATTTCACATGCTGTTCCTACAAAATAGAGCTTTTGTTCATTTTGTTCATTGGCTTCCTCTGAAATTCTGCAATAGGTTGTATCCAAATTGAAAAACTTGGATGCCAATATTGGTATTCTCATTTAGCAACTGCCTCATTTAGTGACTGCTTGAATTATGATGAAAAAAAATGACTTTATGACCAAGCATCACATTTTACAATCTCCAGAAGTCTGTAAAGCAAAGGAAAGCGGAAGTAAGATAATTAGCACAGTCACAGTTTTACTTAGTGACTGAATTGTTTAACACCAAGTTGTCACCTTTGAAAAGATAGACAAGGATATTTTGACAGTTGCTTTCTTCCCCTGTTGCAATAGGATGAGGGACTCCTCGGGAAACAGGAGGAATAAGCTGGGAATTGCAAAGGGAAAGCCAAATTGCAAATTCTGCTCAGGATAACTCTTGAGGGTGAGAGAAAATGCTGAAGGGAAGCTGGTATTGCCACCATGACACAAAATTCAGTATGATGATACGTAAGAGATGAGCCTATGCATGATGAAATTTGTCACATAGAACCTCATGAGCTTCTTAAGTAAGCCTGTGCAGGAGCAAACTGCTCCTCTTTGCCGAACTATCCATTTCATATTTATTCTTATAGTTTATATTTCCCACACAGGACTCATCTGTAGAATAATACATTTACTGGTTTCTTTGGTTTCACTTTTTTCCAGAGATTTGAATGCTAATGATTTCATATTCTTTAGGCAGCAAATGACATGGGGCACAATCCAACGATAAGAAATAACTCACACCTTGTTAGCACATAGCAAAGTTAAGTGTATGGTGGGTTTTTTCTTTTTTTCTTTTTTCTCCTACAAGTAATAGGCTTACCCTTAGCTTGATGATACATAATGAATCCTGGATTCTCACTGTCATCAAAGCATTTGAAATCTCACCTCTTTTTTTTTTCTCCTGTTTGTTGCTTTCCCAGCTCTTCTTTCTTTCTGTCATCCACTTTGCTTTAACCGCACAGAACGTCTGCGTCATTAGCATCTAAGAGCCCTTTCTACATGCATGGTACTTGGTCTTCTTATACTTTTCTCAATGCTGCTGACATCTGTTACTGCTTAATGTGTAGCGTTGTTAAGGAGAGGTCCAAATATTAAGTGCTTCAGTTTCATGTCCCTACTGTAGACGGAATGTATAAATACCATGGTTAGAGTAGTATAGTCAATTTTGAATGCTTTTTCCCTATGAAAACTTAAAAGGAATGTGAATATTTTGCTGATTTCCTTGGTTAATTGTAAATGCTGAATTGTAGTCCTAAGTAGTTGCATTTTTGTCTGTCTTAATAAATTTTTATTTGTCCGAGATGCCTTACTGTCTGATTTTATATTGGTTTAAAAAAAAAAATCTAGCAAAAAGCCTGCACTTTTTTTGCAAATATATATTATACACAGAAGGAGATGGTCTGTAGCAGGGAAGCATATTTCAATCAATACTTGGATTACAGCATATAACAGCAATTCCTTTCTCCCGGAACCCACTTGGGATAACTTTATTGTTGAATATTGTTTATGAATTTCAACAGATATACATTGGGCTTATTTAAATGTGAATACATGCACTACAGATAGTCCTTGATTTACAACCATTCCTTTAATGACCATTCAAAGTTACAACACTGAAAAAAGTGACATGATTGTTTTTCACACTTACCACCATTGTAGCATCCCCATGATCACATGATCAAAATTCAGATGTTTGGCAACTGGCAGGTATTTAGGACAGTTTACAGTGTCCCTGGGTCATGTGATCACCTTTTGCGACCTTCTAACAAGCAAAGTCAATGAGGAAGCTAGATTCGCCTAACAAGCAAGCATATTACTAACTTAACAACTCTAATGATTCACTTAACAACTATACCGAGAAAGGTCATAAAACAGGGCCAAACTCATTGAAGAACTGTCTTGCTTAGCAAAAGAAATGGTCTTAATTGTGGTCAAAGACTACCTGTGCTGAACAGATGCCTATACAAGTAAATTACTAGTAAATTTAATGACCTTTTGAAGTTACCACAGCAAGTCACAAAAGCTACTTATGACCCAGTTTTGAAGTTTCAGAGTCACCTCCCTAATCAGGTGACCACCTTTGGCAACTGGCCCACATTAATGGCCATTTTCAGTATGCGCCAGTCACATGACCATGAGTGGCGTGGTGGTGAAGTGGTTAGAATGCAGTACTGCAGGACTAACTCACTACTTACTCCAGGAGTTTTGAGTCTCACAGGCTCAAGGCCTTCCATCCTTCTGAGGTGGGTAAAATGAGGACCCAGATTGTTGAGGGCAATATGCTGACTTTGTAAATCGCTTGGAGAGGGCTGTAAAGCACTATGAAGCGGTATATAAGTCTAAGTGTTATTGCTATTGCTATTTAAAACCACCCTTCATCAAACAATGATTTTAAACCAGTTCATTTAACCATCATAGCGCTTCCTTAACAATTGTGGCACAAAAGGTCATAAAAATCAGGTCTGGTCATATGGAGACCTGCTTTACAACTGCCCCAATTTATGATTGGCAACTCGATTATTATTGTAATTTGATGACTAGCTATATGGTCTTCCACTAAAATCTCCTATAATTTGTTGGAGGGTTCCTACAGTCATGGAGAAGTCATCTTTGGGAACAGATAAAAGCTTCATGTGAAGCCTTTAAATACAGTATTCCCATCTAGTCACTAATTCCTTTAAATGTTCCCTTCACCAAACCCTGATTGATTGGGGTTCGTTCATTAAAATCCTGGGCCAATAAATTAGTTAGCAGTAACTAAAGGGATGGAAACACTTTGCATTTTAACATAAAACCAAAGAATTAAGAAACTGATACAGTAAGGTAGAAACATTCCATGTAGACAATGCTAGTATTTTGAGACAGTAAATGTCAAGATGGCTGGCATTATAAATTGAAAAAATAACTATAAACATGAGGAATCAAATGACCTTGAGTCTAATGCTGATCAAGAAGGATGGAACACAAAGGTAAAAAAAATACAGTTAAAAGGATCATTACCCATTTCAGTGTAATTGCTTGTGAATAACTTGGCTGTCAACACACTATTAGTAAACTTTTTTATTGCTTTTTCCATTTAAGGGTGTGAATGAATGAATGTATGGGGGGAGAAGCTGTGTGAGAGACAATGTGTGTGAGAGAAAAGCACAACACTATTAAAAAGCACCAGGCAGAATTCCTTTCCCCCCCCCATTTTCTTTCCAAGGAGTGTTATTCGTTTTATTTAGCATTTTAATGATTTTGGAGTTTTGATCCCCTCCTTGATTGATGAGAGAGAAATATCACTGTTATTTAGTATAATGGCACAGGCCTTCACAGTATCTTGAAGTGCATCCCAGCCCCTTCACTGCAAAGAAATTCTTAACCATCTCCTTCAGACTGTGTGCCAAAGAAAAAAAGCTGTGCGAAGTGAAGGCACTTGGCTCTTTGCTCTGGAGTCAGGTAAGATCTGAGAGGTGCCTTAAACTAACCCTCCCCTTTATGCTTGATACACTCTTTCCCCTTGCACAAAAGATTTGTGGGTTAGATAATTCATTTAAGTATTATTTCACTTCACCCATTCTAGGATTATTAAGATTTTATTTAATATTTCCATTTCATTAGACATTTTATGAAAAGAAAGGATAGGAATGCCTTGATAGATAGAGGTTCCCTGATTGGTTTTCACATTTTTCTTTTTAAGCTGAAAGCTTGTTAATTTATATTATTATTATTTTTAAAGAAATAAGATAACATTTATCCAAACCACCTTACTGTCATGCTCATGTTAAAGCTGATATTCTAACTGTCAGCATCACACAACTTAAAAGCTGATAGGGCTGTTGTGTCTGGCATACAAAACTCCAGGCACCCAGGGCTATCTTAACAGCATTATGGGCCCCGGACAAAGCAGTGTATTAGGGCCCCTACGACAACTACTCACAGGAATAAAAATGTAAATGGTCGATAAAATTAAACATATATTTGCATGTTAGTATTAATTTAAAAATGCAGTAAATTGTAATAAATATGTTGCTGTATTTAAATGATACAAGGTGCATTGAAAGGTTAACATACACAGATTAGTATGGGGCCCCTATGCTCGTGGGGCCCACAGCAGTGGTGGAATTCAATTTTTTTTACTACCGGTTCTGTGGGCGTGGTTTGGTGGGCGTGGTGTGGTGTGGCTTGGTGGGCGTGGCTTGGTGGGCATGGCAGGGAAAGGTTACTGCAAAATCCCCATTCCCTCCCCACTCCTGGGGGAAGGATATTGCAAAATCTCCATTCCCACCCCACTCTGGGGCCAGCCAGAGGTGGTATTTGCCGGTTCTCCGAACTACTCAAAATTTCCGCTACCGGTTCTCTAGAACCTGTCAGAACCTGCTGAATAGCACCCCTGGCCCATGGGCAAGTGCCCATCAGGCCCATGCATTAAGACAGCTCTGCAGGCATCCATCAGAGAGATCAACCTCAGTATTTCTTGGTTGCCATTTAGTGCTCACTCAGATTATTGTAAGCCATATATGGTGAATGCAGATTAAAATCAGCATGAAGAATCCTAAACACCAGAGATGGGAAATGACCCAGGATTACTTTATATTTCTCTTGTCATGGAAAGCCATGTATATAGCAAATAAAAGCCCTAGTGCTGGCAAAGGAGAAGCAAGATACTTAGCAAATAAAGTTTATGAATAATACTGACTTCATCAAGACTTCATCAATATAGTTATGTTATAATCTAGACTCTTTGAGGATAAAATGGTAAATGTTTAATGAAACTGCCTATCTAATTTGTCTTTTTTGATGAGGTTTGCAGGCCTAGAGTGGCTAATTCCTTTTGTACCAGTGCAAATGACCAAATCAGCAAGCTGTCAAATTGGCTGACTGAACATTTATGGTGTTTATGAATTTGTTCTGTAAGCCCTTCTTTTCAACCAGCAGTCATCACGAGACTGTGAGCCATCTCTCTCTTAATTTGCATAAATCTAGAAAAAAAATAGTTGGATATGGAAGCAGTCCCAATTCTTATAGACCATGCAGACTGCAACTGATGTCATTTGTAACTCACAACATCTGAAGCTCACCAAATTGGGAAAGACTGTGTAAACAAGAAGGCAGCCTATATTTAAATGAATGGTCAGTTTCCTAGGTGACATTCATTTATTTTATTTATTTATTTATAACATTTATACAGCTGCCCAACTTACAAATAGCTCTGTGCAGCTCCCAATCAAAAATGACCATGTTAAACCATGTTAAAACTATTAAAACCAAAGTTATAAAAACAAAAACTGGTGCCAAGTCAAGCTTTCAATGTGCAATCAACTCATATTATCCCAGGGCTTGGAGTGGGGTGGGGTGGGGTGGGGAAGCCAGGTCTCCAGTGCTTCAAGCTAGTACTACTCCCTATTGTTCTTATTGCCTCATTCCTAAAGAAAGGAAAGAATACAGTAGCATTAAAAAAAAAGAATAGTGTCCATACATAACTTCTGATCTTCCTTCTCTCTCTTTCTCTCCCTATTTCTGCCAGATGCAGAATGCCTGGTTGGTGGTGTGTGGAATGGGGCTTTTCTTTCAAGCAGACTAAGAGCAAGTATCCTTTTACCTCTACCCTCTCTTCAGGAGATTGTTCTGAAGAAGAGAAAAGAAGATCAGTATAGGAAGGGAAGAGAGCATGGCTGAGACGCTGAGCTTGCCGATCGAAAGGTTGGCAGTTCAGCAGTTCGAATCCCTAGTGCCACATAACGGGGTGAGCTCCCATTACTTGTCCCAGCTTCTGCCAACCTAGCAGTTCGAAAGCACATGAAAAATGCAAGTAGAAAAATAGGGACCACCTTTGGTGGGAAGGTAACAGTGTTCCATACGCCTTTGGTGTTTAGTCATGCTAGCCACATGGAGACCACATGGAGACCATGGAGACGTCTTTGGACAGTGCTGGCTGTTCGGCTTTGAAACAGAGATGAGCACCGCCCCCTAGAGTCAGGAACGACTAGCACATATGTGTGAGGGGAACATTTACCTTTACCTTTATAGGAAGGGAAGGGCCAAAATAATAGGTTCTGACTAAAAGTAATTATTAAAATGTAAAGAGAGCCATTTGTAGGAATCAAAGAAATACTTCTGTCTCCATAAGGGATCATGTTATTGTATATTTTCCAGGTCAGCATTAAAGGTTACCATTAATCTCACATGATTGTGAGATTAGTTGACATCCAATCAACGACAGCATTCACAATATTTCTCTTCCCTTGCAAAACAACCTTGTGTCCTCACACCTCTCTGTGTGTTGCCTTTTATTTAAACTTCTCACCAATCTTTTTC